TGTTGAAAATACTAATTATCCTGATCTGAGCATCACATATTGCATGCAGGTATTCAATGCTATATCCCACAGATACATACAATAAATTATGTATCAGTTAAAAAAGAAAGAAAAAAGAAAACCTGATGAAACAATTAGGCAAGGCTATCCTTTGATCCTTCCCCCTTCTTGTGATTATAAATGCTAAGCTCCGCTTGTCCTCTTCACTGGACATTTCTCAGTGATCTGACAGATGCGTTTCCCAGTTGCAATCATCATATTGGCTCAATCCTTGCTATTAGTACTTGACCTCAGTATTTTTTTAGGTTAACAGTTTCATGGCTACTCGTATTTGCCCTTCCCTTAAAATTCTGTTCATCTTGGGGAGAGGAAGTAATATTTTTATTGAAGTTAAGTATAACCTACTACACAGGAGTACATAAATCACAGGTATTAAGTTCAATAAATTTTCATTCTTTTTAGTTTTAGCTATTCTAATCATCGTGTAATAGTATTTCAATGTGGATGTAATTTGCATTTTCCTGACAAGTAATGAAGTTGAACATCTTTTCATGTCTGTTTTCCCATGTATTATTGAGCTGTTGGTCTCCTTATATATTTTGGATACGAGTCTTTTATAAGATGTGTTGCAAATATCTGTCCCATGTGAATCAGTGGATGGCTTGCCAGTGTCTTCCAAAAAGCTGGAAATTTTAATTTTTATAATATCCAATCTGTCTTTTTTTTTATTCTTATATTTGTGCCTATTATCCTAATATACCTTAACCTACTGCAAGGATTCAAAGATCTTCTCTTATGATTTTGTTTCACAAAAGCACACCACTGGCCTTTACATTTAGGCCTATATTCCACTTCAGTTAAATTCCAGGTATGATATGTGGTAAGGGTTGAAATTAATTTATTTTCCACATGGAAATGTATTTGTTCCAGCACCATTTGTTGAAAGGGCTATCTTTCTCCCACTTAGTTAGGTTGACATCTTTGTAATAAATCAAGTATATATTAACCATATATTAAGGATTTATTTCTGAACACTATTCTGCTTCATTGATCTATATGTCAATCTGTAATACCACACATTCTTAAATAAAGTAGCTATATAGTAAGCCTTGATATTGATGAGGTTCTGGAAATGCTACCCTAAAATACAGTACCTTGGAATTTGAGAAAACAGCAGAAGCAGGAGGGTCTCAATGACCTCCCTGTGCTCTTCTTCTCTGAAAGAGGCCATAAAAGATTTCTCTGACCTTCCTCCAAAGTGAGTCATAAGATTTTATGAATTATCTCATTTCAAATAGAGATAACCTCTCTACACCCAGCAGAAAAAAATGTCACANCCTCCAAAGTGAGTCATAAGATTTTATGAATTATCTCATTTCAAATAGAGATAACCTCTCTATACCCAGCAGAAAAAAATGTCACAGATGCCAAAAGGAATCTGAACAAACAAGGCTTGCTAAAGTTCCCTCCAGTTTATTACCACTAGGTCATGCCCCATTTTAGTCCATTTGTGTTGCTATAACAGAACACCTGAAACTGGGTAATTTATAAAGAACAGAGGTTTATTTAGTTTACGATTCTGGGACAGCTGCATCTGGCATGGGCCTCAGGCTGCTTTTACTCGTGGTGGAAAGAAGCAGCAGCCAGCAGGTACAAGC